ATATATATATATATATGGATGGATGGATGGATGGATGGATGGATGGGGGTTGGGGGGGTGGGGGGTGCATGCTTGTCTATTTTGGAGTTATAGACCCCCCTGAACAAAAGTCCACCAGCAGCCACTGGAAAAATACCTGAAATAATAAAGTGGACAAAGAAATGTGGAAATTAAAAGGAAAAAGAGCAATATTTAGGTTTTTAAAAATCTAAATTTACAGATGTTGTGCCAACAAAAGCACCCATTTTATTGTACATGCACATAAGGTAGTTTGTTTAAAAGGAAAATAAATGTTAAGTTGACAAATGCTTTTTAACACCTTTAAGAACACAGTTATCTACAATTATTCTTTTATTACATACAAGGTGCTTTTAGCTAGACCAGGATACAAACTGCTTATTGTTTCTCAAAAAAGAGTTTAAACATTTAACAGATGTTTCTCACTAGGTTTTGTTTATATTTGAAAAGGTTTGCAGGGCATGGGGGAGTGGTGGCTCAGAGTTTAGAGAAGGTGGGCCTGTGATTGGAAAGTCACCGGTTCAACTCCCTGGACTAACAACATCAAAATGTGGGTGGAAAATGTGAAACACCACACCTGCCTCCACCCTCATTTGCCCCAATGGGTAGCATGTCTCTCTTGGAAAAAAACGAGTCCTCATGACTCAATGAGACTACCAGTGCAGTATAAATAAAGGTTAAATTAAAAATCAAATCTATATTCTGGCAACCAAGCTTGTAAAAAACACTTCAAATACAAGGTAATAAAAAGCTAAATGAATGATTGTTTTCGTATTGTTAAAAAAAAAAAAATGTTCTTAAAGCTACTGGGGAGAAAACAAGTTCGTTAGTTACTTTTTCTTCATCACTGCCTTTAAATGACTTCCCAACGGGTACTTTCAGCGGAGGTACTTTCTGTGGCACACCTCTAAACCACGCACTCCTCCAGTAGGTGGCGCTGATCTTCATTTTAGATGGTTGTCCGTCGAGTAAAAGGAAGAACTTCTGCGCATGCGCAGCACTAAATATAATGTCCATGGGCTGTCCTACAGGGGGCAGTGTTGAACTCGCTTTCTTTGCAGCAGAGAAGAAGAGTAGCAGCTGTAGCAAGCACGTTTAGAGACCAGCAGCAGTTCGTTATAGTTCCAACCCGGTTTTCTGGTTCTCTTTAACTCTAAACATGAACGGACTAAACGAGGAGTCAATGTCACCTCAAACCTTCCTTTACGGTGAGTTAAAAGTGGAAACTTGTGTCGCGTTGAACGTGTTAACCGCTCCTTATCGTGAAGTTTTACTGCTACCTTCAAGCTAATGTTTTAGCTGCTGTTTTTGTCTTTCTCTGCAGTGAAATGTAACGTGATATGTGCCATTAACAGTCTGAACAACGCTTAATTCGGATATATTAATATTTTAGCAGTAGTTTGTCCTCGTGTCGGCCTGAACCTCTCGGCCACACACGTGGTTAAACCAACATGGCTGCGCTCATGGTTCATGCTACGTGTTAAAACATGTGGATTTTAATGCTACGAAAAGCAGGAATCGTTTCGTAGTTTGATTTTAAACTGATTTTTTTAAATTAACTGTAGATTTAATAAATCACTGAACATGAACGTTATTTTCTGACTGAGCAAAGTCAGCTCAACGTGGCTTCAAACACATGCAGATTATTGAACATTATGTTTTACCACCAGGTTTTGTTTTTTTAACTCTGCTGTCATGAAGAATACTCTTTGATGCTTTAACTCTTTTAATCTCAATGTAAACCTTTAACCTATTATTTCTAGTTCACAGATGTGCAAGCCATTCACTGAAAAGCAAATTTGAAAATGTCATAAATCTAGCCCCAGTTCATACCAATTTTAAATGATCCAATTGTTTTTGTTTCATGTCTTTTTAATTTAATTTTAAATTAGTTCAGTACTTGAATTAGTTTGCTTGTTCTAACTGGCCTAAACTGTATTAGATCAATTATTAGTCATTTCAAAGATCCAAATGTATTTTTACTTTTAATGTTGTACTGCAAGTTGATGCTAATTAAATCAGGGTCTATTACATTTTTCTTTTTTAGTATACATATTAACCATATTAACGAGATTTGGATCAGATCTTTATTGCCCTATTTATGGAGACATGCCTCCACGTGCTGTATGAAGCCATTCATGTGAATTTGGCTCCCTCTTGTGCCAAATTTGAATATGGTCCTTAAAATCTAAAGAATAGGTTTCAGGTTTTTATCAAAAGCCAGTCTTTGCAGTAGCTTTTTAATTTGACTTTACAAATTTAAATTTCTTGTATGATGTATAAAATCAGTTTTCTGGGTGTATTAACATAAATCTTTTCATCAGGTTGTGTCTTGGAAGCTGGAAAAGAGGTGGTCTTCAATCCTGACGACGATGGGTTCGAGCATCAGTTAGATCTAAGGATGGTAAGGCAGAAGGATATTAAGCTCATAATTTTTAGTATATTCCTAATTTCTTGGGTTTATCATTAAGCCTCTGGGATTAACACATTTTGAGTTGTTTTCTGAAGATCGTCATTATTTCGAGGTTAGGTTTATTGACACTTCGCTGGTGAAGATTCTCGGTCCTCCAGGACATGGTACATTAGACAAAAGTTCAAGACAAAAACAACTGCAGTGTTTCCACTACCACTATACAAGCGGGGCGCCCCATCAACCGAACCGAGCGCCCCGTCTACCGAACCCCACCCCAAACCACCTGTCTGCACTGACGTAACGCTAAACTAGCGGCTCGCAATGCTGGTGTGCTAGCTAAAAAGCTAAAGGCAGCCTCTTCCCTCATGCTGAATCCTCACGCTGAACGCACCCCCACCACTCAAAATTGTCTGTACAAACAGCGCACTGCTCAAATGTGTCTGTCTCTCCGACGACCCCCACACGCACACAAAAAAATTTTCGGTTCAGACAGCGCGCGGCTGTCGTGTCCCCCAACCCTCTCTAAAACTGTTGGGTTAAACAGCGCGCTGCGCAGCTTTGCATGTCAGCAAATGTCTATGAAGTCTATAATTCACACATCCTGCTCTACATAAGCACTTTGCATCAGGAGTGATTACAGACTGGGAATGTGCAGCTCTTCAGACCATCACAGTATCTGAAGACCGTATTTTCTGGCGTATACATTGCAGTTTTTTGCATAGATTCGTCAGTCGTGCAACTTAAGTGCCAAAGCGACTTACCGTATAAACATTTTTTTCCCCTTCCATATAGGGATGGGGCCAATCTGATCCTGTATCGGCCTCTGATACCAGCATAATTTACGTATCGGATTTTTCCGATCCAACCTGCAGAGATTTCCGATCCATGATGCATGTTGGCTTCAAACTTTAGGATGGATTTCCTGAACGGATGCGTGTCTCATAAACCCAGAGTAATAAGACCCGCCTCACATTCAGGAAATCCACTTCATAGTTTGCAGCCAGCTACAACGTGAGGGCTGAGTTAGCAGCACTGTGGCTAACAGCTAACCAACTTTTCATCTAAACATGTCTGCTGTGTGGAAGTATTTTACACTAAAAACACCACAAAACAAGACAGCAATGTCTGCAGAGCCATAGCGCCACATTAAACCGTGGTAAAGTTAGTTTTACGATGGACATTCGAGCTCCGGGGCTTCAGCGGGGCAGTACTCTTGTTAACCCGAAACGGGCGACTCGACCCCGGCCAGCCGCGTCCAACACACTCTGCTCGTCTCTGAGGAGGGACAGACTGAGCGCGGCTGACGGAGATCAGACTGCCTGCTTTGGATTGAACAAGAAAACATCGCTGAAGCCCCAGAGCTCAAATGTTTACAGAGAAGTTGTAGAAAGCAAAGGATTTCACAGCTTGATACTTGCAGTCAAGATTTGAAAATTGCAAAAAAATTATATTTATTTAAAAAAAACTAAACAAAAACAGCTACAGTACATTATAAAGTGATGTAAAATACTAAAAACGGGAACATGTCTGTTGGTTTATGCCTTGAACTTAGCAGGTGTTTGAAGCCATTCATTTTTTTATTCATTTATTCATTCATTTAAAATAAACAAAACAAATTAATCAAAAAGAAAACATTGAATGAAAAGAGTGCAGAAAGAAGAAAACAATTCTTACATCTGCCCCTTATAAAATATAAAACAACTTTAAACAATCACTTACATTAATCACTTTAATATCCATTTTAAAACTATGAATAAAAAGAAACGTTTTGTGTTAGCAGAATTTAATGCCAACTTTAAAACTTATCCAACATTACTAAAACTTACCTCAAGTTGCCTTTTTGGACATGCATGCATATATTTGTACAAATTGTACTTGAGAGGAGATTATTACAGCCTCATATAAAATCCATGATGATGATGATATCGCAACTGGATCGGTATCGGACAATATCCAGAAAGGTGATCGGTGCATCCCTACTTCCACATCCATAACGCAATTTTTGACTGACACTTTAAATTTCTTAAAAGCTGCAACAGCGAGTCCTGTGCACGCTCGCTTTACTCAGCCGGTGCAGGCGGAGGAACTCTGGAGAGCTAGCGGCTCTGGCCGTGATGGATGGATGGCGCCGTGCCGCCCAGGCGAAATGAAGCTGTTTTGACCTTTAAATAAACGCATAATTAATGAGAATTATATGCCGAAGTGACTTATACGTCAGAATATATGGTATATGGGTTTTAGATCTGTCTGTCACACAGATTTTAAAAAGAGCCTAAACTTTTAACGATGCTGAGACTCCTCCACATCACTGGACAGGGTATCTACATCACATCTACATCACTGTTCCTGTCAAATTGACCACTTTTTCTATTTTTTTCTTTTTCCAGCATCAACAAAATCAAACATTTAATCAGTTGAACTCTACACCTTTTTTTTTTTTTGGCTGAATAAAAATCTGGTGTTGGGCAAATATTTCTTTAACAATAATGTGTACTGCTTACTTAAAATGCTCTTTGGTCTTGTGGTCTTCACTAAACGCAGCAGAGCTCCTGTCAGAGCGTCTGGAACATGAACTCGGCTTTAGTTGGTTGTCTTCTTCTCTGCAGGCTTGTGTGGACCCCGGCACAAAAGCTCAGCTTCACACGGTGGAGGTGGAAGGACAAGACTCTGAGGGTCAGAAAGTCAAAGCAGTGCTCGCTGCACTCATGCCCTCCACGTTGCCAAGTGTAAGTCTTTATTGAGTCTCTAAAAGTTTGTCAAGTAACATTACTGAATGTTTCTTCTGCTGCACCGCTATGAGTGTACTTTTTAAAATGACCCTCCTGATTTACACAATGTTGAGAAATGTTTGATGATATTTTTGTAGGTATGTCTCGGTGGATTCACAATTACACCCCCGGCAGTGTTTCGTCTAAAGGCAGGTCCAGGCCCGGTCCACATCAGTGGGCAGCACCTCGTCAGTGAGTACAACATGCCTTGTTTTAAGACTAATGGTCGTCATTTTAAAGAACGTCAGCAGATCAGTGGCGTTTAAAATAATACAACTCCTGTTCATCGTTTCTAATCTGTTCAAGTGATGGAGCCTGATCAGTCTTTTGATGAAGAGGACGACAACGAGGAAGACGAAGAGGAGGAAATCCAAACGTCAAAGAAAAGACCTGCTTCATCCCCTGCCCCAAAACCTCAGGTTTGCATCATTTATTTCTAGAGTTGATTTAGTTTCCGTTTGAAATTTGTAACGCTTTCAACAAAACGTCTGATTTGTTTTACAGAAAAAAATGAAGGTGGAAATGGACGAAGACGATGAGGAGGATGAAGAAGATGAGGAGGATGAGTGAGTGTTGAGCTTTGCACACAATCTTAAACAATTTTTGCCAAAAGTTTGATAGTAAAAACACGATTTTTAAAAATAAATTTGAGTATTTTAGGTTAAAAGTAATGTTTTCAAACAAAATCATTCCTTTTTGATATAGTTGTTGGACCTGTGGATAGCTGTCATTGTTTGTACTGTTTGATATGTGGCTACATTAATCAAACCACAGTCACCACTGTGCTGATTTAGCACACATGGGAAGTTTAAATCTCAAACGTGGCATTGGATTTCAGCTCGACATTTTTCATTTGCTGCAATATTCCATCGTGATCAAATTTCTTTTTGTCCAGGGATGATGAAGAGGATGAGGAGGAAAGTGAGGTCGAAGAATCGCCTGTAAAGGTAAGCAAGGACTCCCATGTTTCTGCACGCTGAGTTAATGAGCTGGTTTCCTAAGAGCTGCTTTATTGTTAAAGGCCAAAGCAACTCCGGCCAAAACAACTCCGGCCAAACAAAAGAACTCTCAAAACGGCAAGAGCTCAGCGCCCAGCACTCCGGCCCCAAAACAGGTGAGATGGGGCTTTTTCCTCTGAATATCCTAACTAGTCTACACGAGCTATGTTCATCGCAGGACTCTTGTTAATTTGAAGGGGGGGGGGGGGGGGGATGCTGTTCCTCTGCTCTAAATACTGACTTTTTATAGGTCAAGACCCCCAAAGCCAAAGATGAGAAGTCTCCTAAAACCCCAAGCCCCGAAGCAAATTTGACACTTCCAGAGATTAAAGCCAAGATCATGATGGCAGTGAAAAAGGTTTGGCTCTTCTTTTCTTTTTTCTTTCTTTCTTTTTTTTTTTTTTTTTTTTTTTTTTT